AAAATTCATGATGTCAAGGAATTCAGATCTGCATTACTGTACAAAATTTCACTTCCTGTGGTACAAAAATATTCAAAAATATTCCTAAAGGAATGAAATTATTCTTGAAATGCATAGATTCAAAGCATATTTGTTAACTCAAAACTTGGAATCTGATCAAAATCAGTCTACTTCAAGTGTAACAGGAAGCCCACATGGAAGGTACTTCTTTGGGTCTAACAAGCTCTCCATGTCTACATCTAGTATGGTGAATGCTGTCATTTCCAAACTTAGAATAATTGTCACAGAGGATGGTTGAGATGTTGTGGATTAATTCTGATTCATAATAGTGCAATAATATGTCACCATATTACCAGTTCCTACACCTAATGATGCAATAACCAATACAGCCAGATGGTAGTTTCCATTTTCCATTTCTTCAGAAACCTCACTGCAATAGCTGGAGGAGATCCTGTGGTAAAGGGACTCTTTTCCATAACGTTGCTTGAGAAATCCTGAACCACATGCAGCAAACTATGGTTACTGTACTACAATTCCTTTCCATTGGTCAGATTACTTGGGCTTCTGAGACTCAAAGTTCATAAACATCTGGAAAACTATTCTGTTGAAGGATCCTTGTTCAGCCCTCTTCATCCACTTCTTAAACTACTTATTTCTATTAAAAGTGTGGGCATTTTCTCCATCTGTTTTAATTTGACCTGTTCTCTTTTTTTTTTTTTTTTGCAAACTGTTGTGTTCTGTCTTTATACTCCACACAAAATCTTTTATTTTCATTTTTTCAACAACAGTTATATGCAAGTTTTCCTAATATGTAGCCTCTTTCACTTCATTGTACCACAAATATCATTTTCTCAGACTTTTCATTAAGACAGTTTCTCATATTTCTGTAGCACTCTGCAACATAATTCTTTTCCTTCTGTTTCAAGCAGCTTCCCTATCCTCTTTCCCCACTTTCATTTTTCATCCAATCTATTTGGAGATCAATCTGCTTTCTAATATTTCTCATAGTTGCGTTTTCTATTCCTGCAGTTGTTATACCTTCATTCTTCTGTTTTCAGTTATTTCCTCTTTTTCCAAATCCATTTAACCTCAACATCCATTCTTGACATCCTGACTGATTATTAGCAGTCTATACATGCCTCCAAATTGGTGAATGATGATTTACAAGACAGCCTCTTGTAGATTGTAGACCCTATTTTGCACAGATTAATGCATGGCTTTATTGGCTTTGCTTGCAGTTGTGGACTACAAACTAAAATCTGCTAAATGCTAGCCTTATCATTAGTAGAAAGTGCTGCATGTTGAGCATGTACGACTAAGACTGGACATAAAATCTATATCAGTGTTTTTCAAACGTGGCAACTTTAAGATGTATGGATTTCAACTGGGGAATTCTGGATGTTGACATCTACACATCTTAAAGTTGTCAAACTTGAAAAGCACCGGTATATGTCTTCCCTATATTATTAAAAAAACATGTTGCCCAGAGTTCAAGTCAATCGTTTTTTCCTAATAAATTCAACTTATTGAATTTATTTTTCAATAAATTCATCAAAATTCTAATTTTGACAAGATCACTTTTTACTACTATCTTCTTGTATGAACATCCCACCAGATGTAAGGAAAGTGGTTAAAACAGGTATAAAAGTGCTCTTGAAATTATATGCACTGAGTTTGAAATATACAGTACAGTTTTTAAAAGTTCAATAAGCTGTAATAATTTAAAGGGTCTAATTTCTGAATATGATTTAACGTTGCTTTGGGGAGTAAGTTCACCAAAGTATTTATGAGGTTAAGGTGCATAGAGCTATCAGAACAGCTCTATGCTTAGTAACAGCTTAGTATCCTGAATTAATGATAATAACCCTCAGTGTAAAGTGAAATGAGATATTTTCTGGGATTTTAAGATATTAAATATTAAACAGGGAGCCTAGGGCTTGTTGCTATACTGATATCAATTTGAATAGACTTCTTCTGAGACTTACAATCCAAATACTCTCCCTTACCTAAGTTTAACGGATTTAGTAAAATAAATCTGAAAAACATCTGCTATTCTGATAGATAATGATCTTAATAGTATTGATAATAAGCCAGTGCTGTTCCATTGATACTCTTAAACACATCTTGGAACTTCAAACAATGCTTAAAAACAGAAATGCTATAAAAATAGTGGTAAATGATTTCAATATGCTTTGATCATATACATGGCCAACAGTGACTAATAATTCATTCCAATGAATCAATAATTATTAAACAAGTCTACATAACACAAAAACATTATTTTTCTATGTATCATGATTGAGAAGAAAATTCCTATTAAGTAAACAGGTGCTTAATTTAATTTTAAAACCTAATTTTAATTATGATAATAAAATTAATTTCCTTATGCTGTAGCATCACATGGCTTTCTTTCCTTATCTTGCTTCCTTTTAGTGGCAATGACTCATATCAGGGACATTGAATGTTTATGTCAAGATAAAAAATTATTGATGGTCAAGTATATTTATGGGTGAAACCTTGCTTTTAATCATTCATTCCTACAGCAATACCTTGGTACTCAACTGCTTTGAAACTCATCGAATTTGGTACTCAATGCATTTTGAAAATTTTGTCCCTTACTCATCATTGGTTTGGTACTCAACACACAAAGTAGAACTTGTCAGTGTCAACTGCGTTATGACTCCTTATGGGAAAAAATTGTTTGGTACTCATTGTTTTTGGTACTCATCCTGCCTCCTGGAACCAATTAATGATGAGTACCAAAGTATTATACCTCTAGTATAATATAATATAATATAATACCTCTAGTATTATATTAGGAAATACTTAAATAAACTGGGAAGGTAAAAACTGCCCTTCCAGCAATTTTTGCAATCACTACTGTTGAAGTTCTGACCTCAAGATATTTCATTATTTGCTTTATTAGCATAAAAATACTACTGAAATTTTCCATGAAGTAAGTAAACTTTAGAAATAAGCTCCACTTGAAATTTAAGTGACTTGTTTTATAATAGGTGTACATGTACATATATAATCCTTATTTTTGCAACAAGATCGTTTATGTCCACTTCTGTTTATCGTTAAAGGTAAAGATAAAGGTTCCCCTTGCACATATGTGCTAGTCATTCCCGACTCTAGGGGGTGGTGCTCATCTCCGTTTCAAAGCCAAAGAGCCAGCACTGTCCGGAGATGTCTCCGTGGTCATGTGGTCGGCATGACTAAACACCAAAGGCGCACGGAACACTGTTACCTTCCCACCAAAGGTGGTCCCTATTTTTCTACTTGCATTTTTTTATGTACTTTCGAACTGCTAGGTTGGCAGAAACTGGGACAAGTAACGGGAGCTCACCCCGTTACACGGCACTATGGATTTGAACCGCTGAACTGCCGACCTTTCGATTGACATAATTTCTGTAAATACTCTATATTTCACAATTAAAGCAAGTCAATATAACATAATCAAAACAGAACTTTTATTTTGATTATTAATGAAGATGCAGCTATGAAATTCTGCAGCAAATTATGCACTTGTTCTGCTAAAGACGGAGAAGTTCCTTATTTTATTTCAAGATTCCAAATGAAAACTATTTGCATTACAGAATTTCACCTACAATAAAAAATCTGGGAAAAACTATTTTAAAATTTAGTCTCTGGAACCTGAAATCTATACATGCTCAAACTTGAGTTAGTATTGTCTCATATGCAAAAACATTCTAGTTAGACAAATGGTATTTCAATTCTGACTGTTCAATACTGCATAGAAGTATGATCCAAGCACCTCTTTGAGAACCATTAAAGTAGCTTTTTAGGTTCATGGAACTGTTTGAAAAGCCATTCCTGTTTGCTGCATAGTCGGGCATAAACAAAAATTCTATTGTGACCGACAGAAAAAGTGGTTGAGGGCAAACAAACATGCAGAGACAGTCACACACAGTTTCTGAAGCGAACAAATGCAACTGAGGATTACTTCAAAGAAAATGAAGCATCCTTTCAAATGCTTTGCATAGTCCTAATGCAATTCTTAACTCTCCAGTACAAAAATATCATTGATAAAGAACTGTATTTTCATCTACATAAGGAAGTGAGTGAATGTCCACTTAATAAGGCATATACATATGAACCTACGAATTAAAAGAACAAAATAAAAATAAATATTTGACCTTTACAGGGAGGAGTCAAAAAATAAGGGTGTGGCTGGCCGAAGAAGTCTCATAAGACAGAAATAGTACTATCCCAGTCTCCCTTAAGTCTCACGACAGACAACACAAAATGTCTGACAAAGCCTGAAAGTGGTGATTTGAGATATCACCCCACTATGGCTATACAAACATCTTGAGCTACGTAGGAAAAAAAACCCTGTACGCATGCCTATATTCTTGTACTACCTCCTTTTATTAGAATTACACATGAAGAATCATATGGGAAAAATGCTGCTTTTTGTATTTGTGGGTAGTGATGGAAATAGATGGTTTTGTAACATGACTATTGTGATAAACAGAAATTCAGGCATACGTTGGCCTAATTTTCAAAACTCTCTGTATGAAATAACTTTAGGTCTCCACCATGAGATAGCGTGTCTCTTTCTTGCAATTGGCTATTTGGGAGAACTTGTTGGAAGATTCTTGCAGGATTGTTCAGCTATCCAATATCTTTCACTGAAGAATGGTATTCTCAACAACCTAGGATGCCTGTCTTCTACCAACCTTTGAGACTGGTGCACATGAAGCCATAAAGGAGGAAGGGGACACCTGCTTATCCAGTCAGATCAGCTGAATTAACCCTGGCAATCAAAGTGATGACAGATGTGGCAGCTGGATCACTCTCACATTTATACAACGAACACAAATTCTCACCAGCCTATGGTTGACAACCAAATATTTTAGGCTGGTTTCTCTGATAGTTGGACCAATATATTAAATATAAACATGGCATCTTTTAGCTTATTACAAATATTAAAATGCTACATCCTTAGGATAAAACAATCAGAGGTTTGAATTTACCTGCATTCCGAACTCGTGTTGTTTTTCAGCTGTTGAATGAGATGTTTAGCTACAGCAGTGAAACTGTTACTCATACGATAAATATCTCTGCTTTGGATACCCAAGATGTTGGAGAAGAGGTCAGTGATGTATTTGATCTCCAACAAAATGATATGGTGGAAAGAATGTTCCATGTTTCCCAGCTGATTAAGCAAATACACCAGGCAGATCCGAGCTCGTTCCTACTTAGAAAAAAAAAAAAGGAGTTTAAAATAGGTAATTCTGTTAAAAAGTTGAGTTAGCATTGTTTGAGGAAAGGAATTGGGGGTGGAGAGAATCCAGAGCTATTTTGCTAATTGTTTTCAGTTCACTTTAAAAAAGGTACATCAATATGGACTTCTGCAAAATAAACATGTCGTACAGAGAGGAAAACTTTTATCTAAATAACAGAAACATAATATATTTATTACTTGTTTAAAATTTTAAAAATATACATAGTTTTCACTAGCTTCCCCTAATCTTTTCTTTATTGTACAGGAACTAAATAGAATGAGAAAAAGATGAACTTTAAAAGGTGGATGTCAGGTTTCAGGGACAAATACAAATAATTGGAGAAAAGCAGATAACTTGGTCTGTGCCATCTAGCACCTTGAATGGTACTCCTAATAGGAATCAGTACAGCTCAAGAAGTTGCATGGATGTAGCAAGGTCCACCCACAAGTACAGGTGCCATGGCATTCTTTGGGTATCCAAAGCAGAGATATTTATCATATGAGTAACAGTTTCACTGCTGTAGCTAAACATCTCATCCTGGAAAACAACACAAGTTTGGAATGCAGTTAAATTGCATTCTAGACTAACTGCAGCTTTTGAGTGGTTTTCAAGGATAGTCCCAAATAGATCACCTTGATGTTTCATCATCTGCCAATAGATAGATTTATAAGAAGTACAGCTTTGTTTCAGGGACAAAATATGAGTGTAACAGTTACACAGTTTGTACATTTTAATGTACATATCACAATAGCTGGTAGTTTGACAGTTGACTTAGGCTAGATATTATGGGTGTAGAAGCAAAAACTACAGTCAGGTCCAGAAATATTGGGACATCGACACAATTCTAACATCTTTGGCTCTATACACCACCACAATGGAGTTGGAATGAAACAAACACAATGTGCGTTAACTGCAGACTGTCAGCTTTAATTTGAGAGTATGTACATCCAACTCAGGTGAACGGTGTAGGACTTACAGCAGTTTGTATATGTGCCTCCCACTTGTTAAGGGACCAAAAGTAATGGGACAATTGGCTTCTCAGCTGTTCCATGGCCAGGTGTGTGATATTCCCTCATTACCCCAATTATAATGTGCAGATAAAAGGCCCAGAGTTCATTTCAAGTGTGCTATTTGCATTTGGAATCTGTTGCTGTCAACTCTCAAGATGAGATCCAAAGAGCTGTCACTATCAGTGAAGCAAGCCATCATTAGGCTGAAGAAACAAAACAAACCCATCAGAGAGATAGTAAGAACATTAGGCGTGGCCAAAACAACTGTTTGAAACATTCTCAAAAAGAAGGAATGCACCGGTGAGCTCAGCAACACCAAAAGACCTGGGAGACCACGGAAAACAAGTGTGGTGGATGACCGAAGAATTCTTTCCCTGGTGAAGAAAATACCCTTCACAACCGTTGGCCAGATCAAGAACACTCTCCAGGAGGTAGGTGTATGTGTGTCAAAGTCAACAATCAAGAGAAGACTTCACCAGAGTGAATACCGAGGGTTCACCACAAGATGTAAACCATTGGTGAGCCTCAAAAACAGGAAGGCCAGATTAGAGTTTGCCAAACAACATCTAACAAAGCCTTCACAGTTCTGGAACAAGATCCTATGGACAGATGAGACCAAGATCAACTTGTACCAGAGTGATGGGAAGAGAAGAGTATGGAGAAGGAAAGGAATTGCTCATGATCCTAAGCATACCACCTCATCAGTGAAGCATGGTGGTGGTAGTGTCATGATGTGGGCATGTATGGCTGCCAATGGAACTGGTTCTCTTGTATTTATTGATGATGTGACTGCTGATAAAAGCAGCAGGATGAATTCTGAAGTGTTTCAGGCAATATTATCTGCTCACGTTCAGCCAAATGCTGCAGAACTCATTGGATGGCGCTTCACAGTGCAGATGGACAATGACCCAAAGCATACTGCAAAAGCAACCAAAGAGTTTTTGAAGGGACAGAAGTGGAATGTTATGCAATGGCCAAGGCAATCACCTGACCTGAATCCCATTGAGCATGCATTTCACTTGCTGAAGACAAAACTGAAGGGAAAATGCCCCAAGAACAAGCAGGAACTGAGACAGTTGCAGTAGAGGCCTGGCAGAGCATCACCAGGGATGAAACCCAGCGTCTGGTGATGTCTATGTGTTCCAGATTTCAGGCTGTGATTGACTGCAAAGGATTTGCAACCAAGTATTAAGAAGGGAAAGTTTGATTTATGATTATTATTCTGTCCCATTACTTTTGGTCCCTTAACAAGTGGGAGGCACATATGCAAACTGCTGTAAGTCCTACACCGTTCACCAGAGTTGGATGTACATACCCTCAAATTAAAGCTGACAGTCTGCAGTTAACACACATTGTGTTTGTTTCATTCCAACTCCATTGTGGTGGTGTATAGAGCCAAAGATGTTAGAATTGTGTCGATGTCCCAATATTTCTGGACCTGACTGTAAATGCTACTTCAAACATTCAGCAGCGAATGAACATGTTACAATGAAGATCGAGTCCTATAGAATCTGGATGTCAAATACAGTTTACAAATACAGATTTCTGCAAATATGAAAAAGTGTCCCACATACACACCCACAGCTGGAAGCTTGTCAATCCAACCTAAAAGTAAGGAGAGCTTTTTGAATAGTGAGGACAATTAATCAATGAAATAGCTTGTCTCCTGAAATTGTGGGTTCTCCATCACTGGAGGTTTTAAAAAAATAGAACAACTGAGACAGAACAACCGAGATGATATAAGGTCTCCTACCTTTAGCAGAGGTTGGACCAGAATACCTCCAAGATATTCTGCTCCTTCTCTGTGGGGGCACCCGCCATCTGGAACGAGCTCCCCCCAGAGATACGGAGGATCCCGGATCTGCGCACTTTCCGCCGCACCCTCAAAACACTCCTATTCCAGCAGGCTGGTCTGGCCTAACCTCCCTTTTTAATTGCTTTTAAATTGGTTTTAAAATTGGGGTGTTTTAAATTTGGCCAAAGTATTTAATGTATTTTAAACTGTTTTTAACGTTTGTATTATGTATATTTTACTTTTTTGGCTGTTCACCGCCCTGAGTCCTTCAGGAGTAGGGCGGTATATAAACTTAATTATGAATAAATAAATAAATAAATAAACAAACAAACAAATAAATAAATAAATAAAGGTCTCTTCCTTTCCTATGAGCCAATGTTCTATCCCACCCTTAATACTAATTAAGTGGGGAATATATCTCCAGCATGGCAAACTATTCCTATTCTATTTTTTAAGTGAGCTATATAGAATGATTGGAATGGGGCACCAATTAAAAACCTCTGCATTTAAATAATAGTTAACAAATATGAATCAAAAGTAATGATTTTATGTTCTCTCAACTGTAAGTGGCAAATGTGCTCGCTTCGGCAGCACATATACTAAAATTGGAGCGATACAGACAAGATTAGCATGGCCCCTGTGCAAGGATGACACGCAAATTCTTAGATTTAATTCCATATTTTTAGATATGGAATTACTTTTATCGTTGGTTGGAAAGGAGATATAAATGATTAATTTTATAATTTATAATATAAATATAAATTTTATATTTATAATTTTATTTTTATAATTAATTTTATAATTATGTATAAAAACTCGATGACTAGAATATTGTTTTAGCAATGAATTGTTATAATGGTTTGGATGACGATCAAGATAGAAGAAACTTATGGAAGAAGAAGAAGAATTTTGGAAGATAACACCGAGATGTCACAGGGAAGGGATGACTGATGTATTAAATGTTTGTTTGTCTTAAAAAAATAAAAAAAAATAAAATAAAAACCTAAGTGGCAGATGAGAGATCAGTAAGAAAATAAAAGTGTAATGAGCATTAAAAAAAAAACTATTTCCCAACAGTATTTGTAATTGACCCAAATGGGAAGAAAAGTTTCCATCAGTGATTTTCTACTTTGATCCAGCCAACAGGAATCCATAAACATTCTGCTGCTCATTTCCAGTGTTAAAGAATAATAATTGCAGTTTTATAGGATATGCAATTAATAAGCAAACTCAAACCTCCAAATTCTTCTCAACAACTTGAGAGTCTTCCTCTTTAGCAAAACTAAGATTGAAAAATTCCTGGTAAAAACAATGTTTGGATTTTATTCAGTATTGTTATTGTAGGCTGATTTTTTTGGGGATGGAAGAATATGTTTATATTCTTTATAGGAAGCAGATTTTCCATTTTCACGGTATACAGTCACATTTGTTTATTGGCAAATGAGGTTAGCATAAAAGCTAATTAAAATGTCTCATTTTGCTGTACTGTATAAAAATATTAGGAAACAACAGAAGAAAAAGAATAAATTCATAAATAAATAAATAACCCTAAATTCAGTCTTGGGAAATTGATTGTATTGTCATTTCATTTGAGGGGTAAAACAGTTTATTGTAAATATGAGTAAAATAATCAGGGTGTTATAAAGGCTGCTGATTTTTACTTTAGAGAAGTTATTAAACAATCGTGACATTGTGTTAAAATTCCAGCACAATGATCCTTCCAACATCAAATAAAACAGTGCTTTTACCAAAATAACAAAAATGAAGCCAACACTACACAAAGGATCCCTTCTTTATTGCCTCTTTTTATTTGTCTTTTTAAAGGTGAGCCCAGAGTTAGAATGATTGAAGAGGCAACAAACAATGTCAATTGCCAAGGCCACATACATCTGATGAGAATTTCAAAGGATTCTGATGTGCGTCTTTCCAACATACAACAGCTGCTTGGAACAACAAAATGTCTTGGGCAAGTTCTAGGTCAGCTTACAAAAAAGATTTAAATTATATTTCAGCAGATATATTTAACTCCCTGGAGTAAATTTAGATTAAATTAGTGTTGCGTTGTTCTGTTGAAGTTAATGGGACTGGAACTGTAGTTGCAGAAATACATCTGCAGGGCACCAAGTTAGGGAATTGATTTTTTGTGTGCAGTGATTTAAATATGATGAAGTACGGCTGAATAAATTTGGATCCCATGTTACTATCAATACAATATCAATAGTACTAGCATATTTGTATGCCCAGTAGTTGATTACTTCAAACTAGCAATGTATTATTGTTCTGTGACATAGAATAATTATTTTGTAGTATCAGCTATGGTTATTGTCTGGGTACAATGTGCTAGACAATGGTCCTTGATTTATTTTTCTCAAGAGGATTTTCTTTTAAAATAAGAGAAAAAGTTAATATGAAGAACGGCATTTAAAAATTAGCACGATGAGGAGTTAGGGTTCTCACTGCCAGTGTCCATTACCAAGGACAAAGTTTCATAACTTTCTAAAAAATATGACTGAAAATATCTGTGGTTGGTTTTTAGAGACCTTCTCAGCCTATTTCCAGGACTTAATATGTAAATTTTGGCTTCTTGCTAAAAAAAAAATAATGAGCATTTTTTATATTAATACTCGCTGTGAAAAATTATAATTGTGCTACGAGTAGAGAAAAATATTTTTTAAGGAATATTATTTCTTCTGCCTGAAAAATATAAAAGATAACAGCTCATATATTCAAGAAGATGTGGACAGGTGATGATGCAACAGTTCATTTAATTACAATGCAAAGTTATTTTAAGAGCTTCATCATCTTTAAAAAGTAAAATCATTTTTGAGTGGAACTTAAAATCTGAATATTATATCCGAATGCTGACCTGTCTTAATCCCAATTACCTTTCTGGATCAGCCAAACTTGGCCATATACTAAGGCTGGGATGGCGAACCTATAGCACACATGCCGGAAGTGGCATGTAGAGCTATCTCTCTGGGCACCAAGCCATTGCCCATTGCTCTCCCAGGTTCTGGTGCGCCAGCCAGCTGGTCTTCACACGTGTGGGAGCACTCGAAATTGAAAGAGCAGTCACCCAGTATACATGTGTGCCCTGGGAAGATGATCTTATGGTTTCCAGCACGCTCATGCACACTGGCCAGCTGGTCTTCACACATGCATGCATGCCAGAAACTGGAAGACCAGGTGGGTGGTGCGCATGGGTGCGGGCCAGAAACCGGAACATTTAACAAACAAATTAACAGAGTTGGAAGGGACCTTTGCAGGTCATCTAGTCCAACCCTCTGCCCATGCAGGAGACCCTACATCTGCCTCTACCTAGGATCGAACTCACAACCTCCTGATTGTGAGGCAAGAGCTCCACCTCTAGGCCACAGCAGCTGGGCATCATCTTCCTGGTGTGCACATGCTCTTCTGGCTTCCATTTTGGCACTTGGTGCCGAAAAGCTTCACCAACACTGTACTAAGGTATATACTGCAATTTTTTTTAATTTAAAAAAAAAGTAAAAAGAAAGAAAAGAAAAAAGAAAGAAGAGAGAGAGAAAGAAAGAAAGAAAGAAAGAAAGAAAGAAAGAAAGAAAGAAAGAAAGAAAGAAAGGAAGGAAGGAAGGAAGGAAGGAAGGAAGGAAGGAAGGAAGGAAGGAAGGAAGGAAGGAAGGAAGGGTGGGTCAGGTGTATGTTCCATGTGATTGTGTGTCTTAGCTAAAATCTTGTATCATGGAAAAAGTTTCTGAAAAGGCCAGATATCAAATTAGAACTGCAGAATTTGTGTATATGCAAACATTTTAAAGGTAACGCTATTTCAGAAATTCTAGTAAAGATTTTTAATGACATCTTTGGAAGGGGAGAATGCTCATAATTTCTTTAAAATGTAGAGAACCATCTTTTTTCCCCTTTGCATTCCAGAGATTAATCTAGAGATTAGCATTCATTTTATCATGCAAGATGGTGTGAAAAAAATCTTAGTGTCAGCCACTACTATGGCCTCTTTGGGTAGGATCCATGACACCAGATAAGTCATATCACTGGACTGAAAGGCCACAAAGACATATATATGGGGAGGCAGTAGAGGTACTCCTCAATTTACAAGCACAATTGAGCCCAAAATTTAGTTGCTAAGTGAGAAATTTGTTAAGTGATGTTTGCCCCATTTTATGACTTTTCTTACCACATTTGTTAAGTGAATCATTGCATTTGTTAAACTAGTAATACACTTGTTAAGTGAATCCGGCTTCCCCATTGATTTTTGTCAGAAGGTTGCAAAAAGTGATCACATGAGCATTGGATATTGCAACCGTCATAAATATGAACCAGCATCCAAATTGTCAAGCATCCAGATGTAAATCACAACCATGGGGATGCTGCAACAGTCATAAGTGCAAAAAATGGTGTGTGTGTGTGTGTGTACCCTGTTTTCCCGAAAATAAGACATCCCCTGATAATAAACCCAATCGGGCTTTTGAGCGCATGCACTAAAATAACCCTCCCCCGAAAATAAGCCCTCCCCGAAAATATTTAAACACAGAGCTGGAAATCAGGTAAGACAACAAGAGGAGCCCCATCTTGCTTCACGCACCCCAAAATAATAAGACCTCCCCGAAAATAAGGCCAAGCGCTTATTTCAGGGTTCAAAAAATATAAGACAGGGTCTTATTTTCGGGGAAACACGGTATGTGTATAGTGTGACCAAAAAAATGGATGAGGAATTTCCATTAAGTCATTTTCAGACTTATTGGAGAAACTATTGAAGAAATTTTAATTTGCCGTTGCTTCTTGGTCTTATCCAGTCAAATTATGAAGATAAATACTTTTAGAGTGGCTACTTATGACTTCCAAATCAAAATGCATCATTTAATAAGATATGAATTTGCATAAAATGCTCATGAACTAATTTATGCCTTAAAAAAAATTAGAAACATTATTATAGCTAAAAGAAATATTTGTATCTCTCTGCAGTCAGGAAGGTTGTGATTAGTGGAGTTTGCGTGCTATTGTTCATTTTGCAATTTCAAAAATACTATTCTTTTTTGAGTTCTGAAATTATTACATAGTGCCCCAGTAGGGAGCACTCTCAAATGAGGAATGTTGTTCAACAGCCAAGTAGGAAACAGTTATCTATAAAAGAAGATGCTCTGTCACCTTAATTAACATTTCTTCAATATATAGTTCACTTGTTAAATTGATTAGAAGTGAAAGGCTTATAAATATTTGTTTTATTTTCTGAATTAATTGTTATTGGTATTGCGTGTGAGTACTGTATACAGCAAGCTGTTTTAAAAGAAATTATTTGCAGGAGGGTTTCTAAATGAAGACATAGTTTAATTAAAAAATATCCACGGAACAATATTTGCCACAAAAATGAAGACGGTCATGCATGGCAGAGTTATTTCACCAACTGTAGACGTGGTTTGGTTTTCATGAATTAGTGGAATGAAAATGGATTTTCATGAAAATGGTTATAATTTAAAGAGAATGTAGACCTCACTAATTCGTATAAACAAAACTTGAAAGCATTGTGGAATTGGCGCTTTCTACTTGAATTTTTGGATAACTCTTTGAAAATGATGGAAGAACATTTAACTCAAATCCCATTTCTTCCTTCTAATTCTGATACCAAGCCTGTTTTCCCAAGTGAATATGGTCCAACCATTCTTGCAGAACATTTCAGCTTGCATTAAAATTTT